GGTCAATAACCTCCTGCAGATTCCCACCTACCTTCCTTTCACTTAGGCAAACCATTCTGATTTCTATCTTCACAGATGAATGTTGACTGTTTCTGAAATTCACATAAATGAATATACATTTTTGTGTCTGACTTCTAATTTCATGCAGCATAATGTTTTTGATATGCATCCATGCTTTGAGTATATTATTTTGGTGTTATTAATGACAATTAATTCTGTGTGGTTGACTGGGTTATTTCCAATTCTGGCTCTCATGAGCAAAGCTGCTATATTCTAGTACGATTCTTTTTGTAGACATGCGCACTCATTTTTCTTGAGTTTGTTTATACTTTGAAGTGGAGTGGCTAGGTCATGGAGTAGGTCTAAATTTAACTTTATTATAAACTGCCAAACAGTTGTCCAAAGTGGTTGTGCTATTTTACCTTCTCACCAGCAACGAGAGTTATAGTTACTCCACATTCTTGTCAGTACTTCTTGTCTTTCAAGATTCTTCCATTCAAGCTGTTAAAATACCTTAAACTGAGTAGCTTACAAACAAGAGAAATTTATTTCTCACAGTTCTGGAGGCTGGGAAGTCCAAGTTCAAGGTGCCAGCAGATTTTGTGTCTGATGAGGGCTCACTCTCTGGTTCATAGGCTGTGCCTTCTCCATGTGTCCTCACACGGTGGAAGGGCAAACAAGCTCCCTCCAGCCTCTTTTATAAAGATACTAATCCTATGCATGAAGGCAGAGTCCTCATGATCTGATCAGCTTCCAAGGGCCTAAACTTCCTATTACCACCAACTTGGGGATTAGGAGTTCAACAAATAAATTTGGTGGGGGGATGCAGACACACAAACATTCAGACCATAGCATTGCATAAAGGTAGCTCATCACTGAAGTTTTAATTTGTGTTTCCCTAATAAGTAATGATTTTGAACATTTTTCCTTATGTCTTTTGGCCATTTAGAAATTTTGTGTGTGTGAAGAAAGCCTATTCATGTATTTTGCTCATTTTTAAATAGCTTGGCTTTTATTATTAATGTCTAAAAGTTCTCTCTAAATATTCAATATCTGAGTTATTTTTCAAATAAGCATACTGCAAATATCTTCTCCCAGTCTTAAGAAGGCTTGCCTTCTTTCTTTTTTTTATTTTTTGATGAGTAGCAGTTTTTAATTTTGATGAAATCCAATTTTATTTTTTTGTGACCTCTAAGACACCTTTCCTACCCTACAATTGTGCATATATTTTCCTGCATTTTCTTCCAGAAACGTGTGTTTTTATTTTTATTTTTAAATCTATAATTCTTCTTAATTTCATTTTCTGATCTCAGCACGATGCTTAACCACTATAAAATCCACAACTTGCAGACCAACAGTTCAGTCTCCCGGAAACTTGTATAACCCTTGATGTAACAACATTTACAGTAGTTTCCTGCTGTGCTCTTTGACAGCTATAGATCCTTGTGCTTCCACCCCTCACTCCCTCCCTCTCTTGCCTTCTCCCTTCTTCTCTCTCCTTTTCTCACCCCTACAAGGTGAGAAAACCAAAAAGACCTAAAACTGAGGAGAAGAAAGACCTGGTCTAATCTGCGCTGAAGATATTAGAGCACAAGAAGAAGAAAGACTGGGTCTGATCTGTGCTCAAACCACACCTGTATTCTGGTTTGTAAATCTAGTTCTGCCCCTGTGTGGCCTTGGATAAATAACTTAAACTTTATGTGCCTCCATTCTTTCTTCTATAAAATGGAGCTAATAAGAGTAGTCTTAGGCCAGGTGTGGTGGCTCATGCCTATAATCCCAGCACTTTGGGAGGCCAAGGCAGGCAGATCACTTGAGGTCAGGAGTTCAAGATCAGCCTGGCCAACATGGTGAAACCCCATCTCTACTAAAAATACCAAAATTAGCTGGGCATGGTGGCAGGCACCTGTAATCTCAGCTACTCAGGAAGCTGAGGCAGGAGAACTGCTTGAACCCAGGAGTTGGAGGTTGCAGTGAAGTGAGATTGCACCACTGCACTCCAGCCTGGGCAACAAAGCAAAACTCCATCTCAAAAAAAAAAAAAAAAGAAAGAAATAAAGAAAGAAAGAAAAGAAAAAACTAGTCTACTTCATTTTGCCATTGTTAGCTGTGTCTGGATATGGTTGACGATTAATTAATAATCAAGCAGAATGATCTTCCTCATTGTCATTTTCCTCTGCATTATTTTTGAAAGCTACTGTGCTGATGTTTTGCATCTTAAATTAGTTTTGCTTCTAAGAATTCCTGTAGATGGACTCATGGAGAATGCCCACTGTTATGTCCAGTTATTTCTTTCTGCATAATGTCTCTGAGTTTTATTCACATTGTTGAGTATATCAGATGTTCATTCCTTTTTATTGCTGAGCAGTATTCCATTGAATGAGTATACCACAGTTTATTTACCAGTGTCCTGATAATAGACACTTAGGTTGTTTGTAGTTTTGGGTATTGTGAATAAAGCTGCTATGAACGTTTCTGTTATAATTTGTGTGTGTGTGTGTGTGTGTGTGTGAAAAAAAGTTTTAAAGTCTCTTGGAAGAATATCTAGATGAAGAATTGCTAGGAAAAAAAAAGATGTTTATGTTTAAATTTATAGGAGACTGTCAAACCAAAGTGATTATAACATGTTACATTCCCTCTAAAAATGTATGAGTTCTAGGTTTTCCACATCTTCACCAAGATTTGGTGTTTTCTGACTTTATAATTTTGCCATGCTAAAATGGTGGAGTGGTATCTCAATCTTGTTTAAGTTTATTTCTCTCACAACTAATGATATTGAGTACTCTTTTATGAACTGACTGGCCACTAGTATATTTTCCTGTCTGAAATGTCTGTTTAAGCTTTTGCCCATTTTTAAGATGAGTGTTTCCATTTCTAATACTGAATTGCAGGAGCTAATTATATACTCTGGATACAGGTTCTTGGTTAAATACGTTTTGTGAATATTTTCTCCTAGTCCATGGCTTGCTTTTTCATTTACTTAATGGTGTCTTTGGATGAAAAGACATTTCATATCGATAAAGTCTAATTTATCATTTTTCTGTTTTACCTATTTCTCTGTGTAATATTTAGAAAATACTTGCTTTCTGCCAAGTCATAATAACATTTTCATGCATTTTCTTCTAAAACTTTATAGATTGCATGGTTTGTTCTGTGATCAAACTCAAATTAGCTTTTGTGTATGTTGTGAGGTAGGGATTGAGATTTTTTTCCTCACTAGGAGATATCTAGTTGGTCCAGCACTATTTGCTGAAATGACTCTTCTTCCCCATTGTACTGCTTTGGTGCCTTTTTTGAAAAAAAAAAATCAATTGGGCATATAACAAGGATCTGTTTTAGGTGTCTCACTTCAGTTTCATTTATCAATATGTGTATCCTTTTGCCATGTTCACACTGTTTTGTTTATAGTAATAAATAGCTTAATAGTAAGTCTTCCAGGTTTGACAACTCAATAAACCTGAAATGTGTACATTCTGTGGTGCCACCATGAAAATCAAGACATGCCGTCACTTAATCTCCCTCATTTCACTAGAGGACACATCTCTCATAAATAATGGTTGACCTCTTAGCCAAAGATCCTCTGTTGCACTCTCTGGAGAAAATAAATCTCCAGTTGCCTTAAGAGCTGATCTAGAGGTGATCTAGATACCTGCAACATTCAGCAATTAATTTAGTTTTTTTTTGGAAAAAAGTTCATTTTCAATGTGGTTTTTTTTTTTGCCACAGAATTTTTTTTTCCTGTTACTTAGTAGCATGAAGTACAACATTTGGTTTGCAATTTCTGTTCTGTGTAGGAAGAAAAACTTTAGTGGAAACAACCAGTACTTAAAGACCATTTTATGAGGCTGTCATTCACATATTATCTCTTTTGCCGTTTTTGTTAAAATGGTATAAGGTGGGCTTTATATGCTTTCTGTATATTCTTTGGAATGTGTATTTAAATTAAAAACAAAATTAAAATATTCATCCTAGACTCAGGTTAAAGTCCACCAACAATACACTTAAAATAGGATGGGCCCAACCTAAGTGTACAACCTACCTGCTTGAAGTGTGTAGTTGGTGTGTGTGTGAGACATTCTCAACAGTATTTGTGTTCCCTGATGTAGTGATTTTCGTTTTCTTCCCACCCTTGAAAGTCCTCGACTTAAAACCCATCTAGAACATTTCCTTTGCTAAGACTTTAAAGTATTCTTTCTTCAGGTAAGGGCAGTTTTTAAATAGTTATCAGTTACATGCTTAGAATTCATAGAAAGCTTGGGGAGAAACAATCCAACGGCACAAGTTCAAGCGCCCGACGGGGCGGAGAAGGGACTGTATACTCACTGATTGCCAAGCCAAGATTGTCCGCCTTGCCTGCTTTGGCTGAGACTAGAGACGGAAACTCCATTCAACAGCGACTAGAGGGCTGAAACAGGGCGCAAGAGTGCGGCTGCCCTTCGCCTACCGGTCCCTCCTGCCTTGGCGGCTTCGGAGTTCGAACTGACCCGGGACGTTGCTGGAGCCGGCAGGAACTGCAGACTCACCACGCGCGTCCCCGCACACCTGCACCTGCGCCTGGAGAACTCCTCGCCAATTGAATACCCGGTCCCCCGCCGAGCTTCGCTGCAGGTTACAGGAAAGAGGTGCAGGGTTGCGGTCCCGGCGAGAGAAGCCGCGCGGAGAGGACCGGGTCCTGCCACTGGTCCCCGAGAAGACAGGCCTAGAGAGGCCGATTTTGACCTGCAGGGCCACAGTCCAATGGCCGCTTAAAACCCTAATGTCTGGTAGCGAGTTGAAGCGATCTCTGTGCCTTGCTTGTCGTTTGCCAAAATTCAGAGACCAAGAAAGACAATAGCTGTGGGGATCAAAATCTGCAATTAACCAGAAAAGAAACATGATCCTGTGTTAGCTTGTTTAGGAAAAAAGGAAGAAGGAAGGAAAGAAGGAAGGAAGGGAGGAAAGAATGGAGGCAGGGAAGAAAGATGAAAAAATCAACCAAAAAAGAAACATGATTTACTAACTAATCGGATGTGGGTCGTGAGAGAAAGACCTGCGTCCAGTTTTTGGCCTGAACGTGTGGAGGGTGGAGTTGCCATTAACTAACGTGGGAAAAGGCAGGTGTAGTAAGTTGTAGAGAAAATATCCGGAATTCCGTTCAGGGCTCTGGGGTCTTCCTTGAAAGAGTTTTCCATCCAGGCCATCTCGGTTTCCGCATCCGTCTGAGTCGTTGATTATGTCGGGAATGCAGGAGTCTGAGTCCTTTATGATATTGAGGGTGCCACGGTCTCACCCCGGGCGCCTCCCAGCTCCAGCCTCCTCCCGGGAACCTGATGCACTCCGGCCCCGACAACCCGCCACCGTCTCTCTACGCGCTGCCGCCTAGCAAAGGTGCATCTCTAGGTCGGTGGTGAGGTGCGGCCGGGACGCTGCAACTCGCTCCGGGACTTGTAGACCTGGCAAGTGTTCCGGAAGCGCCACTGGCTGGACGGAAAGGAGAGCGCCACTGGCTGGACACGTCGCGTGTGGGCTCACAACTTGCAGAAAGCAGGGAGAGGACGGCCTTTTGGGACTATTCCTTGGATGTGCAGGTGGCGCCAGGAAGGGTAGATGGAACTTTCTAAAGGTCAAGGTCAGCGTAGTTTCTGCTGGAACAATTGAAGGAGAAAAGAAAAAAAAAAAATGTGCGTTGTGGTTTCCTGGTAGTCTGTTGGCTAAAGTTGGGCGCTTTCACCGCTTAGACGAGTTGATTCCAGATTAGGGTACGACGGGGTCTTGGCCTCACTGTGTGGTATTGTTCTTTCCTGTGTTTGCCACCGCTGTGGCTCAATTATTCCAAGGCTGCTGGAGAAATGGAGTTAATTTCGATCCTAAAATTTAAGCTATTTATCTAGGATAAACTCCAAATAGTGGAACTGCTAGGTGAAATTTAGTGTGAATTTAAGATTCCGATATATACAGTCCACCAAACGTATAAGCACCAATTACATGCCCCAAAGTGTGTGACACTGTATCTTTTCCCCAGCATTTAAAACCAACGCTAGAAAGTATTAATCCTTTAGACATAATGTTAAGCTATATTTATCATCAAAGGATTTCTTCATAGTTTCCCCTTAAACTATAAATCCGCAAGAGATGGCAAAGCTGGAAGAACTTCCCAGAATTTCAGTAAACTTGAATTCGATAGTCTCTCTGTTCTCTCCTGTTTTGGCATCTATCCTTTTCTTCCAGGTAAGATTCGTCACAATAGAAAAATAATTTAATAAATGTAGTAAAAATGTAAGCCTGGACTTTTTGCTCACAGTGTTCTCCCTGGGTCTAAATTTTGTGAATGTGGTGCTGTTCCTTGGATAGTCTCATGGTTTTGCTTGAGACTTTAGGCCCTTGGGACACCTGGTGCACAGAAGGGTCCCAAAACCCATCTTTGGGTGTGCTGGCAGAGCAAATAATAAAGTAATAAAGTAATAAACCGGTAATAAACCAGTAATAAACCAGTAATAAAGGCAAGGGTGCCTGAAGACCTAAGGCTGGTTGGAACCAAAGCAGATTTTTCAAAACCAGAGAGGGCTTGTGTTCATAATTTAATAATTTAATTTTTATTTTGATGAAATTTAAATTTGATTTAAATTTTCATAATTTAATTTTCATTTTGATGGCCACTTTATTTTGAAAAAGACACTAGTGGAGGAAAGTCTCTTTATTGGACCATCAATTTCCCTATAAATCTTTGTCTCAGAAAAATTTAATAATAAATTATAATAAAATAATGTTTCACATCTTACATTATTCACATTTGATTTAGTTGGCTTATGCTGTCAATGTGTTGCCCACTGTATAACACTCCTGAAGAGTTACATTCAACTATGTAGTAATACATATTACTATACATACACACACGTATACATGTGTATACATATACGTGTGTGTATATATGTATATAACCATATGTGATTTCAAAAGGTAAATTAAAGATAATGGGAAGGTGTTGGTGACCTCTCAGATAGTGTAGCACTAGGATAACTGAATTTACGGTGTGGTGTCACATACTTCAGATATCTATGCTGTAATATTAAAATGGCATTTCATTGGCCAACTAACTTGTCCATTTCCTGGCCCAGCAAGATACATGAAAGGAGTGAAAATGGGAAGAAAATAGCCTTTTGAAGGACTTGCCTAATAAACTTCTCCCTTAGCATTACTTGGAGTGACATCAGAAAATTGGAATGAAATAATTGTGTAAAAAATGCAAATTCTCTGCTCTCTTTCTCCCCCAATCCTTAATAACAAGGAGGAAACCTAGACTCAGGTTAGGTTTTCTCTTCTTATTCTTCATGTACCAGGACAAGTACTGAGCTCATTTGTTACTATTTGGGGACTTAGTATATTGTACAAAGGGGTATGGCTATTACTGCCCCTTTTCTACCAGAGCATCAAAACTGGCAACCTGACTGGTGTTAAGGGGAGCTTCTAACCTTGAATTCCCACTCCATATGACTTCTTTCTGGTTCTCTCTTCTCAGAACTTGCAGTCATCAGATTCATTTGGAGAAGTTTGATAAAGGTTACTTTATGCTTAGACAGAAGAAAAAGCCGTAAGGCCTTGAACTGAGCCTTATCCTCTGATAGGGTTTACTGGAATTCCCTCCACTGTGGCACAAGCCCTGCCGTAAATTGTGATTATCTATACCTTGTCAGTTTTATCTATGTATATATCTTTTATAGTAGTCCCCACATCCACCAGAGAATCTAGGTTATTGGCAGAATGAGATTTGGCAATTTTTTGGTCCTCTGGCCAGACATTATCAGTTAGTACTCTGATTCCATTTTTGAAATTATATACAACAAATTATAAGTATTGTTTATTTTGGAGAGTTCAGGTTAAAGGAAATGAAGGTTATTGTTGAGTATTATTTCTGTAATTTTCTAATTTTAACCATAACATAGGTTTCTTATGAAAAAGTATGGAAGCCAGAAAGCAGTGAAGCAATAATACTTTCTCCAAAACAAACAGGCCAAACTTTGGCAGGAGTTACAAATCTGACATGCAATCGTGGCTTCTATATCAGAAATCGAGTCTTTTACTTTGTGAGAGGCAGTAGCTTTTAGTTTTTTGTCTTCCTTTCGGCTGCCAGAGGAACTGAACATTGTGAATTCACTGGCATAGTCCCAAGAACCTTTACTTGGCAAGCAAGCTATTGATTTTGATGGGGTTTATCAGTCACTCCTACCAGCAGAGATGTGATAACACTGCAGTCAGAGAAGTTGAGTTTTAAAATTTTGACTTGCCAACCAACAGGACACTATTTACATGGTGAAACTTAGACATCAGAGGCTACAGGCACTCAGGCTAAATTCTGACCCATTCATTGGTGGCAAATATTAAGGGATTTTTGCCCCATTAGCCCTTTTTTTACTCATGATGGTACTCTGAACAGAAGAATCTCCTCTAACAGTTTAAGACCATTCATTGTAGAAGCATGTAACTCATCAATCTCAAGGACACATTTTCACAACTATACATTGAATTGGCTCAGAGGCTTCACTCATAACTTTAAATTTTTTCCCCCTTTACTGAAAGTTTTACCCAAACTCTGTCAGTTGAACTCACACTCTGCAGGAACACATACCAAGAAGTTTAACACATGCACTTTAGTTACAACAGCACCTGCCAGGAGAACATCTTACCGCCTTGACTGAGAGTTCAACGAGTGCAGGGAGGTGTGACCAGCCATCAAGAAGCAGTAGAAAGACTTCTTTCCCTAAAGTACCTGAGTCAGGTAGAGGGGAAGAGAAGAATTAGGAGCACAAAGAGAGCAGGCACACAACAGGAAGCACAACTCTGCAATTGCTTATGGTTTTAAGAGGCTGTCCATTTAGTTTTTTGGGTTTTTGTTTGTTTGTTTGTTTGTTGTTTCTTTTTTCTGAGATGGAGTTGCCCAGGCTGCAGTGCAGTAGTGTGATCTCAGCTCACTACAACCTCCACTTTCTGGGTTCAAGCGATTCTCCTGCCTCAGCCTCCCAAGTAACTGAGATTACAAGCTCCTGCCACCATGCCTGGCTAATTTTTCTATTTTTAGTAGAGACGAGGTTTAACCATGTTGGCCAAGCTGGTCTCGAACTCCTGACCTCAGGTGATCCGCCTGCCTCAGCCTCCCAAAGTGCTGGGATTACAGACATGAGCCACCATGCCCAGCCTGTCCATTCAGTTTCAATGAATTTTAAACAACAAAAAATGCCATTTGGGTGGCTGGTTTCAAGTCCTCCTTGTCAATGCTCAGCCTCCAAATATTCACTAACACATAGGACAGTAGGAGGACTGTTACTCTCCTCTCACACCTACTACTTGAGAGAGAACATCTGCTACCAAATCCTAGAGGCCCTTCTCAAGCCTGCTAACCTGGCCCCATGCAGTTCTTTCTGTTTTTTCTCCTAGAAGGCATTCTGACCTTACTGGTCCCATGTTGGGCATCAAATCTGTGAATGGCTCACACTTGGACTTATGCACACAGCATAAGTAATAGGGGATATCTATGCATAAGAAAGATTAGTATGTTGTCAGCTCCCCACATCCATAATTCCACAGCATGACACCAAACTGGGTTACTAGATGACAACCCAAGTGGTGGGTTGCTCTGTCAAGAAGGGGCCAATTTTATATTGCAGCTAGGCAGTTATAGTCTGTAGTTGTACCACTGAGGGAATTGGAGCAAGATGGAAATTTCCATGGCTTACCAGAAACAGGTGAGAAACTGCCTGCTGGTAGCCTGTTGCAAGACAAGGAGGCCCCTACAAGAGATGAGTAAGAAAGAGTCTTACGATAACGCCTCAGAAGACTACCTATCTTACCATGGCCCAGGAGGGCATTTGGTCAAGGTTTGAGTCATAGTTTGGTTGAGCCTTGCCTATGAGAAGTTTAAGCAAAGCTATTCCCTTGTACCTTGTACCTTGAACCTTGAAGACAGCTTCATTGGATATAATATCCTTAATTTACACTTTCTTCTTTTTAATGAGTAAATTGCATTTTATTTTATTTTATTTCATTTTTTGAGACGGAGCTCCCTCTGTCACCCAGGCTGGAGTGCAGTGGCACGATCTCGGCTCACTGCAAGCTCCGCCTCCCGGGTCCATGCCATTCTCCTGCTTCAGCCTCCCAAGTAGCTGGGACTACAGGTACCCGCCACCACCCCTGGCTAATTTTTTGTATTTTTAGTAGAGATGGGGTTTCACCGTGTTAGCCAGGATGTCTTGATCTCCTGACCTCATGATCCCCCCAAGAAGTCTCTCTCCCTCCTTGTGTTCTAGTCTGTGAATGGTTCACACTTGAACTTAGTGTAGGCTCCTAGTGGGAGGAGCAAGGGTGGTGAAAATCCTCATCATATGGAAAAATGTAACCCAAACCTCTAGAGGTTTCATAATTTTCCTCTTGCTTCTAAAAACATAGTCATGTCTTATGGGGTGTTATGTGCTTTATATCTTAACATTTTCCACTTGCTGCTTCTTTGTTTGAGGGGAAAAATGCCAGCATGTGGCAAATGGAGAATAAGACTGGTGGAAGCTGCAGGGCAAGGCCTTTACTTCCAGTGACACTGTTCCCAACTCCCTCCAGCATGAGCCGAGCCTCCTCAGGCTGTGGTTGTGCAGCAGACAGGGTGTGAGGAAATCCTGCTTTGCCCTGGTTACCCAGGATGGCACTGAATTCTAAAAGGCAAAGGGTATGTGGTGAGGGGCCAGGCTGAAGACCTGGTGTGGTACTTTTGTGAGCAGTGGCACAATTTGGGGC